AATTATCCGAAAGTAATGGATAATCGGATATAATTTCATATCCATATACGAAATTACATATTCATAACATCACTAATATATTTATATATAGGCACGTACGTCATTTTGATTTTATATGACGGTTTAACAGCTTAAAAGACACAAAAAAATAATTGCACTATTACAATATTTTTAATAAATATAACATGGTAACTATATAAACGACTAAATTATTAAAATGAATATCACAATTGATTATATTATTAATTTATTTTGTTTTTTTTTTTCGTAATGAAAGTCATTTTTTAGGAAGAAAAATCATCAAATGACTATTCTATTGTCTAGGGAATGGCGTGAGATAGGTATATACTGAGATAGATATATCACTCTTACTGACTAAAACCCCCTCGTTACTTCTCCTGCTCTGGGCCGAGGTCGCGGTGCCTCATTGCGCTTACCCCACAACCCCGGCTGAACATCAGCCCTATAGGGCCCCGTCTGTGGTGGTCTATTGGCTCATTGAAGCGCGCGCGGAACGCTACGCACCGTGTGCTCGGGTCTGGTTCTGGTAGCAGTGAACGAGCAAAAGTCCAAAAACCTTGGAAACTACTAAACGGATTTTGGTGAAACTTAGTATTCGAACGCAACATACCAAGTGCTAAAAAGTTAATTAAGCAAATCAATATCCAAAAAAATATTTAAATAGAGAGAGAGAGAGAGAGAGAGAGAGAGAGAGAGAGAGAGAGAGAGAGAGAGACGACAATTATTGTGTCCTCAACTCAAAATCGCGTACGTAAGTATAACAGAACTTATCTTTAAAATATTTAACCGCACTTAATTCCGCCAACAATTTACATAAAGAGGTTTTCATAGCCATTTTGAAAGCATTTAAAAAAAAGAACCTATAACAATATTTTTTTTGCAAACGCTTAAAGTCTTAAGTCAACAGCCATAGATTAATATTATTATTGAAAAAAAACACATACATTGTAATAATGTACTCTAAAAATATTAGGGCAGTTAAAAAGTTTTGAGCCTAAGTTATTATTATAAAAAGTAAAAAAAAAACAAATAAAACTCAACTACGACAAAAAACGAAGCTGAAAAAGATTTTCAACCTACCGTAGCACTTTGACAACGTGTAGCCTTTTAGTATTCTGTAAATTTTGTTTTATACTTTTTCAGCGTCATTTTTGATAGGAGTCGGGTAATACTAGTATTTTTCCTATGTCGTGGATGCGATTACAAACATACAATATCACATACACATCACACACAGACACGGAACAAGCATTTGTGGATCACACAAAGAGTTGTTCCGTGTGCCAGTTGCCCAGCCACCACGCCAACCGTACGCCAATCATTAAATACCTCTACGTACTGGATTTAGACTCAAAACTTTTCATATGCCCTAGCACATACCGATAAGGTACTTATATATACTTATCACTACATAGTATAAAACAGAGTCACTTCCTAATGTCTGTCCCTATGTATGCTTTGATCTATAAAACTACGTGACAGATTTTGATGCAGTTTTTTAATAGATAGACTTATTCACAAAGGTTTAGGTGTTTTAAATTAAGCTTTTAGGACGAAGACGCGGACAGGACGCTAGTAAAATTTATATTAAATACTAGCGACCCGCCCCAGCTTCCTACAGGTCATTTTTTGATTAGCTTTAGTTTACATAACATTACTATAAGTTTTTTATATAGACAGATATGTTTTTTTGCCATGTTTATGTCTATAGTCTTACTAAATTACTAAATAAAAACAATCTTGGCGTATCTTTTTATATAAAAAATGTATGTTATAAAAAATATTATGTTTTCCGTTTACTCACGTAATTGTTTGACGAGATGCTCGACTAGTTTCAAGCCATGCTAGAGGCCCATATTCATGAGCAGCATTCCACGACACGCGACACGGCGACTGTCGCGCTGCTACTGACAATTACGCGAGTAAGCCGAAAACATAATAATTAATTTAATATGTCTCACGAAAGTTATAAAATGTTTATAATGAGGTATTTACCTAAATCGATGTTAACTAATAAACTAAATTTAGTATGTATTTTATACGACCTCTTTAATATAAAAAGACATACCAAGACTGTTTTAAAACCTTTAGTTAACCATACAAACTGATAGAGTATAGAAAAATGTTATTAAAACTTGTACATACGGCTAAATATAAAACTTAAACATTTGAAAAGCGAAAAAAAACATACTTACCCCCGGTTTCTGAAAGGCTTGTCAACGCTAAAATTAACTAATCTCCCGTTAAATCTCTTGTCAAGTCATCTGATTGGTTGTTGATAATTCAGTCAACCAATCAGATGACTTGCCAAGAGATTAAATTGATTTTAGCATTGATCGGCCTTTCAGAAACCGGGCGTTAGAAAGCGAAAATATGTTAATAACTATTTCTTTAACGTATATTCTGTAGCCGTATCTACAATGAACATTGGTTATTTTTATTTTCACTGTCATTTATTAGTGGAAAATGTTTAAATTTAAATAAACGAGGAATGTTTAAGACTTCAGGTAACTTATTTTTATCGTTGACTGCATACGTGACTGGCACAAGACAAATATGTGGCAATTCGAATTAGTAATGAATACGGTAGTTCCAACTAGTCAAATTCATTACTTTCATCCAAATTTCAAAAACGATACTTTTCTATGAAAGTTTAAAAAAACCTGACAGACTTTTATTTACAAAAATATAAACTAGCAAGCAGCTAGAATTGGCGCAAAAGTTACTCTGACAAAAAAAAAACTTTAGTATCCTACGTAATAAAATAATAAATTAAATTATTTTTTTTATAAACGTCAAATTTTTTAGCCTCTGAAATCTTTTACCGAACGGATAACACACAAGGGCTGATTTTTCAATAGTCAGATAAATGTTATCTGAGGAATAAAATTGTTGCTGTCACTGTCTTATACAAACATTCTGACGCGACAGCATCATAGTTATTCCGCAGATAACTTTTATCTAATCATTGAAAAATGAGCTCTAAGATCGATATCGATATATTTATATTTATTTAAAATCATGACTTAATCACGTGACTCAAAGCTCAACTAGTTTCAAGTATGTGAGGTGTTAAAGGGGGGAGGGGGTCGAGTCAAATCTCATCTAATCTTACGTTGGAGAGAGGGGTCTTGGCAAACACCTCGTAATTTTCTTTCTGATTGAAACAAAAAAAAAAAAAAACTATACTATTTTGGTCTATTTAAGTAATCCAGATAGTACATGCTTAAGATTTAATCTTAAGCGTAATCGTAGTACGATTAAGATCATTTACTAATAAAAGGACGATGCAAATTTGTTTTTTACTTTTTACAATAGTACCAATTCAACGAGTTTACGTAAGAAACTCTCATTTTTAAAAAACTCACGTGAAATTCGGGGATGGGACATCTCACATCTCACCAGAGAGGTTAAAAAATTAAAAAAAAAACAGCTCACGTAATTTATGGACGCCGCCTTATTCATTCCGCGACGCGCAATCTGCTCATGAATACGAGTAAGAGTCCCGTTACCACTTGAATCTAGTTGAGCTTCTCACAGTTCATTCACGTGATTAAGTCGTTATTATTAAATAAATTCAGTTTATCTCAAGTTTAGTTAGTATTCAAACATGTTTTATCCGTTAGATTGTCAATTTATTACAAGTCAACTTTATTAATTTTTAAATTTCTAGTCATTTTTTTTTTATAAAAATTCAAAACTAAACGAGTACATTGTGTACCATAATAAAAATATCAGCTAACAATTTGGAATGAATAGCCAACACATTATAAATAGGTTATAAAATTAAACTTTTTTTTTTCATAAATTAATAAATAAATGCTCAAACCTTGGCCTTTTGAGAAAATGCCTTTGCTCAGCAGTGGGCACTTATAGGCTGATGATGATATCTCATAATATTATTAAAAAATATAACTATTAATAATAAATAAAATAACAACTATATTATTACTAGATAATAAACGCATTTTTGAAATAGAAAAAGAGAGGTTATGTTTTGTATAGCGTTGTCTCTGTCACATGCTTATATACATTGAAAAAGTAAGCAAAAGTGATTGAATAAATCCTATTAATATAATAAACTACCTTCCGCCTGTGGAATCTCGCGCGTAAAAAAGTAATAAATAACTCGACTAAGGGCTGATTATCAATATTCAGATAAATGTTATGTGAGGAATAAAATTGTTGCTGTCACTGTCTTATACAAACATTCTGACGCGACAGCATTATAATTATTCCTAAGTAACTTTTATCTAACCATTGAAAAATGAGCCCCAAATTATACTTTGTGTGTCTTAACACGCAAAGTATAATTTATAGCCTATAGCACTCAGGAACATTGTAGCTATCTATCAGTGAAAGAATTTTGGCAATCCGACCAGCGGTTCCAAAGATTACCCCCTACATACAAACTTACAAATTTCACCTCTTTATAATATTAATATAGACGTTAAAGTTTGTGAAAATGTATTGATGTATGTATGTTTGTTTTACTTTAACACAAAAACGCCTGGTTTTATTTGGTTGAATTTAGGTATGTAGATAAGCGATACCCTGTATTAAAACATAAGCTAAGCTTTTTAGCAACATACAACGCGGGCTAAGCCTCGGGCGGAAGCTAGTCTATACTAATATTATAAAGAGGTAAAATTTGTAAGTTTGTATGTAGGAGGTAATCTTTGGAACCACTCACTGGTCGGATTTCCAAAATTCTTTCACATATTGATAGCTACAATGTTCCCGAGTGCCATAGGCCATAAAACATAACGCTACAATCGAATGGAGCCGAGCAGCGAGTGAAACCGCGTGGGAGTAGCTAGTCTGTAATAAATCTGATTTTAGTAAAACTTGGCACTAAAAACTTTTAATAAACATTTTCAAAAAAAGGAGAGAAAGAGACAGAAAATTTTATGACTACAAACAAATATATTAATCTCAGAATTTACCCAAGCACATATTTTAAGATCTTAAACCCATAAATAAATAAACCACACATAAAAAAAATACTGAAGAAAACAACAGAGACAAAACCATACTCAATATCCCTCTCTCTTTCCATTTCAAAACTGACTATACTAAAAAACCCGACTCACCACTTTCTAGATCCACTTGTCATCCTTTTTCGCTCCCAAAAGGGGCGTGGCCTCTTCTTTGATCTCCTTGACAGGACTATCTGGTTTCCCGTTGAAATATTTTGCGGAATTCACGCATGACACAATGTATGGAACCCCGGCTAGGTCGGATGATAGCGGATTGTAGTATTGGCGGTAGCAAAATATTGCCACGGTGAACCCTAAAACTGAACCCACTAGGATATCTGTAAAGTTAAATAAATATAATAATATAATACACACACAAATGGACACGCATCTGTAGTAATCATTATATATTTTATATATATAGCATATATAAATATATATAAAGTAGGTATATAGTAGTTGGTTTTATACATATATAAGTATAGTATTTTAATAAGCATTTATCTAAAATTGTACACTTGACGACCCATATTTCAGACTCCTATTATAGCTTCATCCAAAGGTTGTCTGTAAGAGATCGCCTTGTGCGATAAGACCGCCCATTGTACACTCAATGTTTATAAGCTATCCTTTATAACTGTGTGGTGTACAATAAAGTATATAATAAATAAATTAATAAAAATAAAAGCTTTTTCTTATTTTCTTTTCTTTATGTAATAGATCGGCAAACGAGCTGACGGATTACCTGATGGTAAGCAATCAGCGTCGCCCATGGACACCGGAACAAAAAGGAGTTACGAACACGTTTGTTTTTACGATTTGGAGATTTAGGGATTGGTATTTGGGGATAAGGGGTACGTTTGTTTTCACGGTTTGGAGATTTAGGGATTGGCATTTGGGGATAATGGGTACGTTTGTTTTACGGTTTGGAGATTTAGAGATTGGTATTTGGGGCTAAGGAGTACGTTTGTTTTTACGGTTTGGAGATTTAGGGATTGGCATTTGGGGATAAGGGGTACGTTTGTTTTTACTGTTTGCAGATTTAGGGATTGGGGGATTGGAAGTGGGGCATCCATTAACCTCAATTACACGGCGAAACACACCGCTGTGGTTGTTACAGGATGGTTTTCTGTGAGGCCGTGGTATCTCTCCGGTCGAGCCGATCCATTCGTGCCGAAGCATGGCTCTCCCAGACTTACCATACTAGTAATTCATTATATGATTTTTTTTTACTCAACACAAAAATCGTGACCAAGAATAGATAGTGCGCATTATATATTTATATACTCATAAAACTATTATCAATAGTAAATGATAATAGACAAATATATACCTTAAGAATTTTACTGAATACACTCTATTTGCCCATAAATGGGCCTCGAGTCTGCTATTACAATAGTGTCAGAATAGTAGATCATTGGTTTCAAAATAATAAAAAAAAATCAGTTCCTTAATTCAATGATTTGCGTTTAGAATATTAATGTGCAGTGATTGTTTATAATTCGTTACAAGACATCTCGTACTTTAATTCTATTACAACATCGCCGAACGCCAATGATCAGCCATTTTGAATTAACAGATTACGAACTTTTATCAAAATGACAATGGAATCGTGTAGGAATGACAACACTTTGAAAATAGTAGACTCGGGCCCCCGACATACAGTAAGGTAAAACATCGTGAGGAAATCTGGATTTATAATTTCTAATATGGTAGTTTCCAACTATTCAAATTTAATACTTTTATCCAAATGTCAAAAACGATACTTTTCTATGAAATTTGTATGAAATACTGAGTTGTGGTTGTAACGTCAATATTTTTAAGTCAAATAGTTTATTTATACAATTAGTGTATAGATCGATCAATATATGAAAGTAAAAAGTATAGTTTTTTTTCAATATTTGATTGTATTGAAACGTCGAATTAATTTATTTTTGACCTAGGAAACAACCCAATTATGAGTTTGAAATCGCCAATTTGTTGCCTTGAGCGAGTGGTGATTAATGCTCAAACCTTCTCCGTGTGAGAAGAGGCCTTTGCTCGGCAGTGGACACTTATAGGCTGATGATATAAATATGATGTATGATGAAGCTATATAAATCAAGCTTATACCTTGATCACGGATGGGTCGGCTCGACCGGAGTGATACCACGGCCTCACAAAAAACCGGTATGAAACAACCACAGCGTTGTTTCCGTGAGAGTGAAGTTTCTTCCCTTCCTCCAATCCCTAGATCTTCAAAACCCTAATTCTCAAAAGGTTAAAACACATACGTAACTTTACGTACTCACTGATTGCTTACCATCAGGTAATCCGTCTGCTCGTTTACCGACCAATAACATAGAAAAGGCAATGGTACAAACTCTCACCTTCCCAATGATGATGGTAATCGCAACTCCTGGACAGTGCAATGCAGGTGGCTACCATCAGGGGTAGAAGACAGGATATCACTCGTACTGCACTGCCACGGCGCCTTGAGAGGACTCCAAGCCGGCCGCAAATCCAGAGCGATGCTGTGCCCAGGGAACAGAAGGAGACTGAGGAAGAAAGAAATTCTATTAATGGGAGTTCAAAATCTCCAAATCCTTAATCCCCATAAGGCGGGCAACTTGCACTCTTCTGTTGATGCGATCAGCGCCGCCCATGGACACCCGCATCGCCAAAAGGAGTTACGAGGGCGTTGCCGGCCTTTTAGGGATAAACAAGGAGGAGGAGGTCTCGGATATACAAGGATTAGGAAGGGATGGAAGAGGGGGAGGTATGGGGCTCCGGACCTCCGGTAACCTCACACGGCGAAACACAACGCTAAGGTTGTTTTACGCCGGTTTTCTGTGAGGCCGTGGTATCACTCCGGTCGAGCCGACCCATTCGTGCCGAAGCATGGCTGTCCCACACTTAAACTGGCTTCTTGTTAATTTCTTAACAGTGGTCTATCGGCTATCCTTAATCGCCGACCTCAAACGCGCGCTTACGTCAAAACAAGTATTAAATTTGATATTTGTCAAATAAGTACCATAATATTTAAGTAGGCAATACTCACGGCTGCTATGTCCACTGGGGAATGACTTGCGACCTTCGAGGATATCCGCCAGGTCTCCGGTACATCCGAGGACCTTCGGCTCCACGCCATCAGGGAAGCAACGGTAGTAGAAATCGGGACGCGGTCGTCCTGACGACACATACATAAATATGGTGATGTTTTCATTTCATATGGTAGAATGGTTATTCTATACTAATATTATAAAGAGGTAAAATTTGTAAGTTTGTATGTAGGGGGTAATCTTTGGAACCGCTGGTCGGGTTGCCAAATTTTTTTCACTGATAGACAGCTACAATGTTCCTGAGTGCTATAGGCTATGAAACATCACGCTTTTTTATGTAATTGGTCGGCAAACGAGCATACGGTTTACCTGATGGTAAGCAATCAGCGTCGCCCATGGACAACCGCAACGGAGGAGTTATGAGTGCGTTGCCGACCTTTTAGGGATTAGGGATTTGGAGATTTAAGGATACGCTACGATCAAATGAAGCCGAGCAGCGGGTGAAACTAGTGATACATATACATCGTTAATCTTCCTCTTCAATCTTCATCTATTAAAAAACCGCATCAAAATCGGTTGCGTAGTTTTCAAGATTGAAACATACATAGGGATAAAGGGACAGAGAGAGCGACTTTGATTTATTATACTTTGAACTGAAGTAGTCCTATTAAATAAAATTAAACTAGTGTTAATTCATCAAACTCCAGGCGAACGCCAAGGGCACCCATTATCTGTTGTCTAACTATTGTAGAATAGTTATGTGTGTGTATATATATGTTAGAATAAGCCATATAGTCTAACTAACTAACCTAAAATTTTAATGTATTATCCTTTCAGCTACTAACAATGTACTACCACAGTTAGTCCGACGGGCCTACAATCTGCCGTCACTACTCGAAACTGGCAGTATAGTCGACAATATTAAGCAGGATACTCAGTTGCCATAACAAAAAAAAAATAACTTTTTTTTCCTTTGTATGATTTTAATTCTTAAGTTTAGTTTACAAAATTAATGTTGTATTTTTTTAATTAGTGTTGTATTTTTTTTTGATTTTGTTTTGTTGGTTTAATTTAGTACATAAGTACTTAGATTTAGTTATAGGCCAAAGCTATCGCATTGGAGAATACTGTGATTGTAGTATAGGGTAAGATATTTAAATAAATAAATAAAAATGTCAAGTACCGTAAAACGGGGTGAATAGAATTTGAGGACGTGAATAGATACACAAAAGTGACACACAGATGTTGGCGAATTTTCCTAGTATCCCGGCCCGCGGACGACAGACTCGGGGCGTCTTGTCGTCCGACAAGCAACAGGTCTCGAGGCGGCGGCGCCGTGTTCCGCGCGCGCCTCATAGTGGAGTCCTGCCGTCAGAGTGACGGCTGCAGTGGTTGACGGGGCCCGCCTAACCATCTGGCGGGCCAGTACCCGTCGGGGGCATGCGACGAATGCTACGGCGATACCCGCCATACTACATGGGTAAATGTAGGAACACCGGGTTGGTTTTAGTCAGTAAGAGTCTGACGTCCCTTCGCCCTTCCCCGAGGGCGGCGGGTCTCCATGAGGATTTCCAAACCGATACCAAAAAAATCCCTGTATTTTTTATTATTATTATTATTTTTTTATTTGGGAAACAAACAGATACATTGCATAAACAAAACAAACACAATTTAAACCAAACATCATCCACAACCTTATTAAAACATATAAGCCGACTCAGAACATTATTAAAACGGTTTAGTAGAATAAACATCAATTAAAAAAAAACACTTGTATTAGACAAAATGGAATATCAAACAATTGGAGCAGGAACCAAACAACAGCGAATGCTTTTTTTGAATTTGTTAAAAGGTGTGTCAAAAACATCCAGCTGATGATCACTATTTGATTTGATGACGGCATTGTACGTACGGCAAGATCTAACAATAAATGAGTTCTTTCTGTAATTCGTCTTTGCGGTGGGAACGTGAAACAAAGCCTTATTACGCGAAGAAATACGTGGACATCGCAGACCTATATCTTCTTATCTTCTTCGTATCTTCACCCATCTTCTGTTTTTATTTACCGCTCGAATTCTATTCACCCCTCTTTACCGTAGGTATCCGATAACTTACAGGTAAGTGTTTTTTGTTGTAAAAAAATAGTTTTATATGTGAAGTCATATTAAAAAAAAAACTTACCAACAATGAGTTTGACCATGTCAGTTAGAACTCCATTGATACCGAGAGCCAAGGACCATGATAGGAGAATCTGTGAACAAACAAACATACAAACATAAAAAAAAACATCGCATCTAGACCGTGAACAACAATTTCTGAATCACACAAAGAGAGTTAAGATTAATAAAAAAAAAATAATGAATTTAGTTTTGTAAATAGGCCATAAAACAGCACATTTACACGTCAAAAAATAACAAATTACAAATTTAATTAGTCCTTGAGAGAGGCCTGCCCCGAGGAGGCCAGCATGGGAAGTCTTTCTGGTTATCCAGATGGTCCAGAAATAGTCACATTGCATTTTTACGGACGGCGCGCGGCGTGTGGATGCAAAGGGCTATGCTCGGGGTCTCTGCGCGACAAAATGTGAGAATTCGTCGAAGAACCATAGATCGTAAAATCGCAGGATAAAATGTCAATGGGCAGGCCACGTCGCTCGAAGGACAGACGGCCGATACGCTCGAAAAGTGCTCGAGTGGCGATGAAGGACCGGAAAACGTAGCGTCGGCAGGTCTCCCGCTAGGTGTACTGATTACATCGTCAGAGTCGCGGGGAGCCAATGGATGCTGGTGGCAAGTTGTCGTTCGATGTGGAGGACTAAGGAGGCCTTTGTCCAGCAGTGGACGTCTTCCAGCTGATGATGATGTGCAAAAAGCCCTAGTGGTAATTGATGTGCCTCGTCTATCGAACCCAATACAACCGCAACAGCAAGAGTTATAAGTGCGTTGACGACCGGAGGAGGACGGTGATTGATCCTCTCCTACCCTGACTTGCACGGTAGCATCCAGCGCTTTGGTAGTGTCACGCCGGTCTACTGTGAGGTGTGAGTTATGACTCCAATGGGACCGACCAATTAATGCTGAAGCATGGCTCTGACTAAGAGTTTTTGACTTAAGATTTCAATACTCTTATTTTAAGTTTTTAAATGAGGGTGTGCAAAATTTCGGCACGAATGGGTCGGCTCAACCGGAGTAATAAATACTACGGTCTCAGAAAACCGGCGTGAAACATGTGAGTGAGGTTACTGAAGGCCAAATCCCTCCTCCTCTCCCCTTCTATATCTATCCTTTCCCAATCCTCAAATATATAAAACCCTTATCCCTAAAAGGCTCGCAACGCACCTCCTTTGGTGTTGCGGGTGTACATCCGCGGCACTGATTGCTCACCATCAGGTAATTCGCATGCTTTGAAGAATTGTGTCTCTGCTGGTAACCTCACTCACACTGCAAAACACGGCCAAACTCACCTCGAAGGCGTCATTGCAGTCGTTATACCAGGCCCACGCCATTAGAGATATGAGGCAGGGTACAGCGAGAACGATGGTCCACAGTACGCTGCCTGGCACGTAGGAGTCCACTCTAGGGTACATGTAGTATGTTTCCAGTTCAGCTTTTTGAACGACGCGGACAAATGGTATCATTGTTTCCATATAACTGTGGACAAAGAAATCCTCATTTTTTTATTCCATAACCGTAATTCTCTAAATGGCAATGCTATGATCATGGGCGCTGCAGATTGCTTACCATCAGATAATCCTTCAGCTATAACAAAAAAAAATACGGTAAGCTAATAAAGAATATATATGATATTTTGTACGAAATAATTTAAATCTATACTTATATTATAAAGAGGTAAAATTTGTAAGTTTGTATGTAGGGGGTAATCTTTGGAACCGCTGGTCGGATTGCCAAAATTCTTTTACTGATAGATAGCTACAATGTTCCTGAGTGCTATAGGCTACAAAACATCACGCTACGATCAAATGGAGCTGAGCAGCGGGTGAAACCGTGCGAGAGTAGCTCGTTCGGTAATAAACAGATTTGAAAAAGCGATCAAAAAATCTGCCAAAACAATTATACTTGGATCCGAAAGCATCTAGCTTCGCTGACGAATAGACTGACAGACTACTATTCTATTTTGACGTTTCAAAAGTACCTTTTTATGGTTTAGTTAGAATAAATGATTTTGACTTTGAATTTGAAGCACATGATAGCGGTGTGCCCTGCTTGGCCTGAGTACCGCTATGTTCTCAGGGACATGATTGGCGGTAGCGATCTCACGCGCCCTTGGTGCTGAGTGACAGTCATGCTAGCAAAAAACGAGGTGGAGTGCGTGAGAGAACTATCCTCCTCACGTCTCTACCGGTATAGTAGGCGACACTCCAGGCGTATGGGGATGGAAGGACAATGTCTAGCCACCGTTGCTTTGCGGAAGGCGAGCATGGGTAGCTTGCCGTTCGACCAGAATCAATTCCGAGCGTACGACGCGTAGCGTTCCGCGCGCGCCTCAAAGAGCCAATAGACCACCACAGACGGGGCCCTATAGGGCTGATATTCAGCCTGGGTTGTGGGGCAAGCACAATAAGGTGCCGCGTCCTCGGTTCGGAGCAGGAGAAGGAACGGGGGGTTTTTGAGTCAATAAGAGTCTGACACTCTCTTTCGCTCCACTTTTGGTAAGAAAAGTCAATATTTAATAAGGTCGGACGAGTAGACGGATAACATGATGGTAAGCAATCAGCGCCGCCCTTGGACACCCGCAACAGAGGAGTACGAGTGCGTTGCCGACCTTTTGGGGATTAGAGATTCGCGGACGGGAAGGATTGGGCCTCCGGAACCCTCTCGCCCCATTCACGGCATGAGTAAGCCTCACCATGGGCGAGAGATCCCATTTGATAAATTGCCCCTCACAAAAAAATTAAGTGTAGGGGTAACGCGTCGCCCAATCAGAACCAGACCCGGGAAGACGGCTTCGCATTCCGAGCCTTCGGACTACCACACATGGGACCCATGGTTGTTTTTATGGTCTTGGGATACACGTGCAAAGCCACAGGCGGTTGCTAGTTATCTAGATAAAAGTATATTTGAATTAGATACAATACCGCCGACGTATCTTGGCGAGTCTGAAGTTAGCCGATTAGCTGCGCAGTACACAATTCTGTTCCTAAAAGATCCATTGCGCAGACAAACGGCTAACTTCAGACTCGCCAAGAAACGGCGGCCGTACCGTAATGGAAACGTGACGAGGCAATGATTCTGAGGGCATCGAGAACCGGTCCTATTTCAGGAACCGGTTCTTTCGGTTCTAAATTTTAGACGGCACCGGGTACCCGGTTCTTTCGGTTCTTTCGGGTTTTATCATAAATTTTATTTGAAAAGTCTCTCATTTTTATAATTTTTTTGAATTACACTCAAATTACATCATATTTTTTTAACTATTTTGTAACTATTGTTATTTTATTATGTCCAAAATTTGAATTTCGCGAGTTGTCATGGAGCATTTACTTCAATGTCCCTTGTTAGTTTCTTAAAAATCTATCATTTATAAATTATAACGTTATTTTATGGTTTAACAGTGAAATAACAGCATATACTCTGTCTTAATAATAAATTTGGATAGGAGTAGGAGTTGAAGGAGACTCGGGGGAAGGATGTATCTCAGTAAGGCGCTGGTAGGGGTCTTGACCGTACTTCCGGGATTGCTCTGATAGCCGTGGGATGCCTCTCCTTCCCTAAGCAGCTCAACGTATGTTGCCTCCGTGTCGCTACATGCTAGCGGCCGGTTCCGGGGGCCCATTTTATTGGGTTTACCTCCTGCCTGTTTATCCGTATATATCAATATTGGTCAGGGGCAGGGGCCATAGTATTTCCATAGTTATCATATCCACCAGCACATAGCAACCCATACCCATAAAACCCTTTCAATTATTATTACCACATTTCGCAATTGTCCTAGATCAACCGCGGATTATCCTTGGGTGCACTTTCATAGTGCATACAGGGATAATTGCCGGCTGATGTCCCATTTCAGTTATATTAAAGTTGTTCAACGGGCCTCTGCGAGTTGGCTTCGACCCCTCGTACGCCTTCTAAAGGTCCGTGATCCTGTAATCCCGTGAACGGAAACGAAAATTTGGATAATAACTTGATATTTAGCATTAAAAGTATTATAGAGATATTATTTTTAAAATTTTAAGACAGAACCGTAAGAACCAAAAAAACCGGTTCCTCGTTTTACAGAACCGGTTCTATCAGTGTCTTCCAGAACCGGGATTTCCCGGTTCTTTCGGAACCGGGAAAAACCGGTTCCGATGCCCTCACAGAGAACACAGTTATAAGTTTACTTTGGGATATAGTAGGTTCAGAAAACTTTACCAAATGTATGTATGTACATTTCATACTTGACTCAGTATATAAGCTTTATGTAAATAGTGATACTTCTTATCAATTTGTAGATACAAATATAAAATTACTAGCAACGCACCCCAGCTTTATAAGGATGCAATGCTGATACTAAATTTCTCCACTATTTGGATGCTATATACATATTATAAACCTTCCTCTTCAATCACTCTATCTATTAAAAATACCATATCAAATCAATTGCCTAGTTAGATACAATGAAACGAATGAATTTATTTTTGCAAATAGGCCATAAAGCAGCACTTTTACACATCAAATGATATGTAAAAAAACTAGATAAAGCCGGTAAGTCCTATCTAGGGGTATAGAGACAGAGAAAGTTATTTTTTTATACTATTTAGTGATGATATGTTGTGAGTAAATACAAATAGGTATCTCAACAATTTCTCTCTTCTCAATATTATATGCATGAAGCCCGAGCCATATTAAAATTTTATTTTATGTCAAGAATGCAATTCATAATAATTTTAAGAATGTTGGTTAGCTTGTAGCTGGCTAATTTATAAGAGCTACTACCTATAACAAATACTTCTAACTACTTTGTATACATAAGCTGCGAGCCTACTTTATCATAATAAATAAATAAATTACATGCAGCAAAATAAACATTGTTTAATGCTTGCATATGAGTGTTAAATTTCATTAAAAACAGTTCAGTAGATTCTGTGATTTTTTTATTTCAATGTTTTTTAGGATATCACAATTATCCCTGTCATACATATAATGCAAAGAGGACCCCACAAGAGGACTGAGAAAATATATATGTTTACAAAATATCATAGAGAGGTAATATTTGAGAGTTCGTATGTAGGGGGTAATCTTTTGAACAACTGGTCTTATTTAAAGAATTCTTTCACTTATAGATAGCTACAATGTTCCTGAGTGTTATAAGGCTAAAATATCACCCTACAATAAATAAAGCAGAGGAGGACGGCAGTAGCTAGTTAGTTATATTCTTATTAAAAAATATTTTATTATATTAACAGAAAAAAAAATAAAAACAAAAGTGCGATAATCATAACGTCGCAATTAAAAACTAAAATAACAATAAACAGCGCTCGAAAACGAATAACTTAATGATTTAATAACATTTGTGTCTATAAACCGATATGATTTTGATGACATCATAGAGTCAACATCATTTTTGTAAAAGTAAAACGGTAAAAGATTTTCGCTGAAAAATAAAAAAGCGTCATTTTCCAAGCCATTTTCTTCACTTAAAAATAGTATTTTAAAAGATACAAGATAGGAGTAAGCAAGTTTAACTATCGTTTAATAAGTTTTTATAAGATTTTTAACGAAATCAAAGATATTTCATTGATAAAATTCGTCAAATGTGTTTGTAAATAATAGACGAACATATGGACACGACTTACCAGAAAGTGGTGAATAGCATTATACGCACTACAATCTCAATAAATAAATTAAAGCTAGCGGATCGTATTAAAGCCATTTTTATTATGTTCTTTACACAAACAAATAGATAACTTTGTTAAAACCTTTTCGCAACACTGAAAATTTTGATAAAGGATTTGACGTTTTGTTGTTTCGTTCGGAAATTCGGAATTCTTTCCAACTTCCAACACACACTTGTTATCAGTCAGCGAAAATACGTTTCGTTTCTGCAAATGTAGATTAGGTCTTATTCAAATCGGAATAATATAAAGTATTTTTAGGGTTACACCATCGATCACTAATAAAGAACTAGATACACAATCAGTGACAAAAAAATGTCCTAACTGAAAGTCCACCAAACTCAACATCGCGGTGTAGTTTTAGTTTAGTACCACTCGAATGCTCCGACGGTAAACATGTCTCAGTGCTCGTTTAAAAAATGCAAAAATCACACATCTAAGACGCAAAAAAGGATGGAATTTCATATTTTCGTTAAGTAATAATATTATCATTATATAATTGTCATCATTCTATTTTCTTCTTCGTTTTTTATTAGTGATCGATGGGTTACACATGCTTATTTATCTCCCGTTTGTGAGGAAATAATTATTAAACCAATACTAATATGATTAATACAATTGGTTTTATTTCTTATTGGGCAATTGGGATGCCATGCCCATAGCACTACACATGTCTTCACATCGGTTTCTTTTAAACATAACACAAACCTGAATGTATTCTAAATACTTAGGTTCTGAATTTCCGAACGACGGAAACAAGTCTAGGTCATAATTTATTGATCCAGGCTGTGAGACAAATATGTTTAGTCCTTGGTTAGGTATAGCCACCTATAAGTTGTATACACTTCAAATACCTTACTTTTAGCTTACTTTCTCCGTGTGTGAGAAGAGGCACTTGTTTAGCAGCAAGCTGAAGTTGATGATGTGATGACGCTTTAGGTGGATGTTATTTTTGATAGTATTAAATTGTTATACAATAGAAATAAAACCAGTAGTAAATAGTTTATTAGTTTTATACATCATTGGTAGTAAAACCTAATTATGATTAACAACAAGAAACGAAACTTCTTGGATTTTTTAAAATATCAGATGGAACATTTTATTTTATGTGTATAATGTAGGATATTTGTAGGAAAAGATATTCTACTAAACGTTTTTAAATTTTCTTGAATTGCTTCCATTTCCACTAGTTCTTAATTGATTTTACTGCAATGTTATCACAGTGCGAGTGTAGTCTCCCGAAGGTCCATTCTTAAAGCCTTGGCGACATACTTGTAACTCCTATAGGAAAGCAAGTGTCCATGAAAGGCACTTGTCTTAATCATTTACCAATAACCATATCGGTTCAGCCGTTTTTGCGTGAAAATAACAAACCTATATAAGCTGGACTGCTGCAAGTTAATTGAGCAGATAGGTCTTAAAGTACCACATAACATACCTAGATATCCCATTACACACCTATTCCACACAAAAGCATCGAACACAAATCTAGGAGTAAACTCGCCTCTCAATAGGCCTACCCGAGAGATGAATTATTTTATAAAATCCGTTCCAAATGTTGACATATATCACGATTCTGTAAAAGTCTTTAAAATCCAAATAATATATTGAATCCCGAACCTCACCACTTAATCAGTTATGTATCTGTTAGTATGTAATGTAAGTTTAAGTAGAATTAAGTATTTCCTACTGATCTCATTCCTTGCATTTATGTATACCTACCTACTTATTTTCTAATTTAATGTTCCATTTCATTGTTTAATTATATTGCAATTCTAATGTTGTTATAATATTTTTAATATAATTCTAATTATATGTTATTGTAATAAGTAGATAGTTTCGTTCTTACTCTACTAGGTTATCACTTTATTTTTAAGAATGCTGGTTACCTGTAATTGGCGACTGTATAAGGCCAAAACCTAATGTTATCATTGTTTTATTTAATTTGCTATATACAGAAGCTGTTGGTGTACCTTTTTTAAATAAATAAATAAATAAGTAGAAGTACTTATATCCATAAATTCTCACATATTTTTACATTTATTAATATTCGTAGGATTTTATTTATGCATTTTGTTCACTACTAAGGGAGCGGGAAATGGTTTAATAAGACAGATTTTTATAGTATTTTAAAAACCAATTTATATTCTATATCTGTAAGCATAGACTTTCGCTCGGGGCGGTCGATCTGACCCGTCGATGATGCCAATGAGCTCTCCTCGTCCGAAATGATCTGGCGAGGGAGGGAGATGCCGCACTGCTCCCAGTCTATGATGGTCTCCGAGATCCTGCTGCGGTCTTCCGACTCGGTTTTGGTAACCGGAGTTTCGGGGATGGTGATAATGGGGCGGTGCGTGGACACTTCAGAGTCTGTTGCGTCCGGCTATGATGCCGCCTTTGAGGCCTGAGGCGGCTCCGATGGACGCGCCGCTTTTTCGGATTGTACTGACCTTGCTGCGGTGTTTTTCAGGACCTTTTGCCGAAGGGACTTGGTCACTTTTCCCGTGGCGTCCGTGGTCGGTTTGCGGGACGTTGAGGCGGATGTGGAGGATTGGGATGACATTTTGTTCCTTAGGTGGTAAAAAATACAAGAGTTCTATAATGTATGACTTCAGTTATTTGGAATTGTATAATTGTTTTTTTTTTAACTCTATGGTCTCACTGCTGCGTCAGCTGGTGGTCTGCTGCTGCTGGCCAGTGAGGAGCCCGATGCTGCCAGAGCTCGATAGTTTGAGCCCTGCGTGCACTTTGATGGTGGTTACCAGTGTAGTTTTGCTTCGCCGCTGGATTTTCGTGGATGTGGGGCTGAATTTGGTAATTCCGTCGGGGCCAATTGGAAGGTCTCGTCGTGCCCTTTCAAACGAGCCCAAAGTCGCCCAAATTATCTTCAGCGGTTGCAGAGTTAGGCTTCGAGGGGGTGAGGTCGCCCTGAGGGGGGAGGGGTGAGGGGGGAAACAATTTTGGGGGAGGGTGTCAGCGGGGGGGGGGGGGGGTGAAGGGGTTGTATAGGGGGGGAGGGTTTTCAGGGGGAAGGTATTGGCCAAATAAATTAAAAAAAACAATTTTGGTGGGGGGGGGTGTGAGGTGGGTTAGAGTGTGTGGGGGGGAGGGGGAGGGCGAATTTCGTGAACCTGGGGCTCTGATGAGGTCTTGAGATCCCAAGTCAGATGAACCCAAGCTCGAGGGGGTTTTGGGGAAAGGTTAAGGAGTTCCCTCGGGGCTTACTTGGTCTTATGATGCGAAGTCCTCAGGTCCTGATGTATCCTCGGCTGGCAGATTCCTCGGACGTCTGCGGAGTCTCCAGTTGGCCGGCCTTGCGTCACGCCTCGTGCCATAAAACCACGCGGTGTCCAAAGTGAGGTTAATTCTAACCTTAAACACACGTGCTCTGCTGATTTTAGGACGCTAATAGCTCGGAGACCCCTCGTCCGATTTGGCAGATCAAGGTGTCGTTTGAATCGGCTCTGCCGCGTCTTCCATGATAATTGTAGGCAAGAGTTCTTCGCTCACCTCCGCAAAGATATTACCGCTTGAAGATTTGGTGTTACTGCTTTGTTGCCCGACGTCTCAGCGACTTGCCCACATGAATCCGGGTGAATTGGTACTTGACAAAACTCACTGATAACTTTTTGCGCACTTAGCTCAACGCGATGAATTTTGGCGAATTTTTTTCGCGGAGCTGATGTTTATCGTGTCGACCTCAGTCGGTTACTGTACAATTGTATTTGAATGTTGATAAAGCTTTTAACAACACCACCTTTTTATGGGATAAGATGGCAAACAAGCAAACAGATTACCTAATGGTGTAACCAGCGTTCGCCCTTGTACACCCGCAACAATAGAGGTGTTACGAGTGCGTTGCCGACCTTTTGGGGATTAGGGATAAGGGAGCGATTGGCGGGATTGGGGGAGGGGAAGGGTTGGGTCTCCGGTAACCTCACTCATACGGCGAAACACAACGCTGCGGTTGTTTCACGCCGGTTTTCTATGAGACCCCAGCCCCGGTCTGTTTAACGACCCCACCTAAATTAGTGCCATTTTTCTTGAAGTTTGAGCGCAAACTTCTTCAGCTTCAGGCTTTAGTGCAGACTCCTTGGTATTATCAGTAAATTTCGAAAAACTGACAAATGACAACAAAGAAATAAAATAAATAACTTTTTAAATAAGTAAGTACGTTTATTTAGCTTAACAATAATAAAACTTAGGACTAGGGAGATATTATAAAAATAATATATTATGTAACGACAACACAGTACAATAAATTTTAAATGCGAAAAAAATGCCAGACATTGCAAAATTTAAAACTTTTGATATTCGAAAATCAATTTTTTTTTACACTAGATTTTGTTTTTTGAGATTTCGATTCAACATAAAGAATATAAAAAAATAGACATAATATATTTATATAACTACCTATTAAGTATGAATCTTAAATTATATTATGACTTCAAATATTTTTTGTGTTTTTGCGTGGAATCTTGACAATATTATAAAAATTGAAATGATTGGCTACAAAGTAATTATTTGTTTAGTTAGTAGGTAGTTTCCTATGTCAAAAATAAATTACCTACTTGGACTTTAGCATACGATGAATTATTAAAATATAATCATCCCTTTATACATTGATTTTAGAATACATTCCCATTATTACAAAACAAGGGGTATCTTTAGTCCAGGTTTAAACCATTGAGTCGGGTTTTGAATTTTGAATCTTATTGTCATTACCTTCAATTCGAAATACAGAAACTGGCTCAATGGTTTAGTCCTAGACTAAAGTAAAACCTTGTTTTGTAATAAGGCCGCATAAGTTTAAGCTAATTTTTCAAAAATAAGTATTCTATTTGACGTAAAAACACAATGACGTCGTTTGTAGCGATTTCGTACAAAAAATAAAAGTATTGTTTTCGACATTTAAATACCTAAAAGTATTTTACTAGGTAGTTGGAAAGTAACGAATTGTGAATGTATTGTATCGGGATTTTGCGACCGATTTCCCTATTATTAATGTCAGAACCAGCACGCATTTGAAAAACACATACACTTTGATCAAATCTGATCTGTTTTCGGTCTACATTAAGTTTTAACTTCAAGCTCTATAAAGAGAGTTTACCTACCTAGAAAACATAATGAAAAATATAGACATTAAATAATATTTAATACATGGTAGGTACCATAAAGTAATTGTTTTACCTAATGCGACGTTGAATGAATATTAGGTATAAATATCTATCTGAAAAATCGAAATAATAAAATCATATTTCCAACAATGTATTAACAAAAACCTTTCTTTCGAAAAAAAAATGCAATGTTTCGAAAAAAAAAAACATAAATAAAATATATTAATAGGTACAAATAAAATGGAGGCTTCAATACGTTTATAACGTTTAGTTATTCCTTCGTTTAAAAAATAAGTACCTACCTAATTATGTTGTACGGCGAGCCTTAATTAGGGGTATTATGTAGATGTTTTCAATACTGCTCATGACTATAAGCCTCGACATCACTTAAAACTAATCGATTTAACTCGTCGAAAAGTGACGTAAGTAAAACGTATAAAAACAGTAAGTATCTACGTACTAACTTCTTATTTTCTTGAGATTTGTTTACAAAAATTGATTACCTAATATTTTTCTATAGGCACCTTTTTCATAATTCATAATTATGCACTATAAAAGTTCTTATAGTCAAGTAAATAAAAACTACACTAGTAAAAGATAGCTTGATCTGGGACAGCTGTCAGTAAAATCGCGCCTATGTAGTTTTGAATTTAACAGTACGGAGAAACGTACCTGTCAATGTCATACTTTATGGGCATGCTGACCTAATTATTGATGAGTGATGAATCATCGTGACCACAAACTATAAACTATCGATATTTTTTTTTAATTCAAAATTAATTTCTCATTTCATTTTATTGTATATTTTAAAATAATATCATTATTTACAATAGTGAGTAAATAAAATTTAAATAGTAACCTACTCATGTAAAATCCTTTCGACAACTTTGGGTTTCGGGACATTCTGAAAGTGATTCGGATATAGATTTGGGGTGTACTCCTTTGGAATAAATTTATCTTAGATTAAAATATTCGTTTCATTTCAGTACCCAAATTATATTCCAATTAAACATATAATTTTAGCATCGATAAGTAAGAAACGTCGAAAATAACTATCGATATTTTTTTGTACCATGACAACCCTAGGAATGTCAGTTTGACGCATGTCGCAGAGATCAAGCTATCTTTTATAAGGTATAGTTTTGTGTGACAGGATAGTTTAGGACTGACTGTTATGAAGTTAGCCATAAACGTATTTCTATCTCTGTCTTTCGTCACTGTTCATGCATACTTGCATCTCTTACACTCCGTATCATGCATGTTACTTAGAGTTTTGTGATGTTTATAACAATATTTAATTTTTTTTATACATATAATATGCATAGAAATAGGTACTACATAAAGAAAATTAGCGTTACAAATGACATCAAACCCATAAAATATTTTAAAGTGTTCCAGACACTATTCTTTTGAAATGAAATAGAAAAACACCTATTTATAATATTGTGAACAAAAAAATATCTTGTGACATTTAATAATTTGACGTTTGTCAAAAAACTTTTAGGTAAGTCTGTAATTTTCCCGCCAAAAGACTATACATACACAGATGGTACAAAACGACTATGGTTATAGACGCACAGATTATAAATAGTATCCCATAGAATGCGTTCGGGCATTCTTGTAATAATCGAAATACTCTTGTGGTGAGATCGCGTGTTTTTTCACAACCTCATCTAGTTGCATTTGATCGCTCCAATCAGCCTGAAAACATAAAAAAATAAATAATTAAAAACTGAATTTTCTATATGGCTGGACATGTTGGTGTAGGTTATAAGCGCTCGCAACTGTAGTGAAGTTTCATGCGATCAGTTCCCTTCCAATGCCAAAAAGAAGAAGCAAAACTTACAAAATTAGGGAATAATCCTCTCTTCTCGTCGAATTTCCTCTCGTTGACGCATCGGAGGAGGTACAGCCTCTCTACCCATGGCCAGATCATGTAGTCCAGCATACCAGGACGGTGCCCTCCGAAGTAATTGGTATCTGTGAAGAAGACCATCTCTTTATGACTGGATTTTTAAGGGGTGGGGGGGGGGGGGTTATTATTGTCTCCAGTTTTAAATTTTAATTTATTTTGATACTGTCTAGGTTCGATGTAGCTTAGCAGGCGTTTTATGTAGTTTTTTGGCTTTTTTAATTTGTAATGTTTCATTTTACCCTTTTCTAATTAAGTTGATAATTTAAAAATGGGAATATAATATGAGTTAGTGGCTGATTTTAGTCGATATTAATGTAACGGCTAACATACAGAGGTTGGCCTCTAGGGATTTATGGATAGGGGATTGAGGATTGTGGATTTTTTATGTAATAGGTCGGCAAACGAGCAGACGGATTACCTGATGGTAAGCAATCAGCGCCGCCCATGGACACTCGCAACGGAGGAGTTACGAGTGCGTTGCCGACCTTTTAGGGATTAGGGATTTGGAGATTTGGAGATTTAGGGATTGGGGAAGGGGAAGGGTTGGGCCTCCGGTAACCTCACTCACACGACGAAACACAACGCTGTGGTTATTTCACGCCGGTTTTCTGTAAGGCCGTGGTATCACTCCGGTCGAGCCGACCCATTCGCGCCGAAACATGGCTCTACCACACTTGTCCTCCTCTAACCTCAGTCAGACGACGAAAAACCACGTTAGTATTGCTACACGCCAAGCTTGCATGAACGAGTCGTGCTCGACCGGAGTGATACCACAGCCTCACGGAAAATCGGCGTCAAACAAACACAGTTTTTTTCGCCGTGTGAGTGAGGAGACAGTCCTTTTTACCCCAAACCCTTCTCTGGTGTTTTCCATAGCATACCATCAGGTAAAGTGTTCGATTAACGTCCTATCAAAAAAAAAAAACAAATAAATTGAGAGAAAAGAAATATAACCTACCTCTTAAAGTCAATTCCTTTTCAAAAATATCTAGCGTCTGAATTATCTGTTCGCTTCCAAACGCGAAGTTAGTGTCGAAACACTCCAAACTACCTTTAATTAGCTGAAAAGAAGAAAATAAAGTTATATATAAACTTGTTAGGTAGTTTGTTGTGTGAATATTTTCGCTGATTTATTGCTCTGTCGGTTCTTGACTGCGGCGCATGTTACAAAAAAAGCCATGAGTATAAATGTGGATGGATGGAGAGGGAGAGGGAGACCAAAGAAAATATGGATGGATTGTGTAAGAAGTGATATGGAAGACAGAGGAGTTAGTGATAGCGTAACGGGTGACAGGACAGAATGGAAAAAAAAAACATATTGCGCCGACCCCAAATAAAACGGGACAAGGGCAGGAAGATGATGATGGTTCTTGACTGCGGCGATATGGTATGGATATAGCGTAGGGGATGGGCGACTATTGCGACCGCTGAAGAAGGACAGACATCCAAAGAGCAGACAACTTGCCTTCATGCCGTATATCAAGGGTGTGACAGACAGGATCGGATCCGTTCTTAGGAAATTTTCGATCCCGAAGGTCAACACACCTGAGGCCAAGGTTCATGATAAGGTGGGCACGGCGAAGGATGTACAAAGCTACAAAGCCCAGTCGCTTATGAGATCAACTGCAGCTGCGGTAGTTCCTACATTGGGCAAACGAAGCGGACCATTGCTGAGAGGCTCAAAGAACATATCGCCGCAGTCAAGAACCGACAGAGCAACAAATCAGCGATAGCAGAAAACCTGCTCCAGACCGGTTCCAATCACTGGATAGAATTCCACCGACCGCAAATTCTCTCCAATGATCGCCACTACCATAGATGAAGGGTAATTGACTGCACGGGTGGCGCAGTGGCTGGGCAACTGGCTACCGTGCAACGTGTCACAGATTCCCGCTGGGAACAAGTTCCGGGTCGGCGTGTCATGTGTATGTGAAATTGTATGTTTGTAAACGCACCCATGACACAGGAGAAAAACAAGGTGCGAGGCAGCGCTTTAAAAAAAAATCTCTAAAACCAGACTACCGTACCGCGCGCCTCAAAGGTCGAATTGACCACCACAGATAGGGCCTCATTGGGCAGAAATTTAACTGCGGTTGCAGGTTAAGTGAACCTTTTTTTGGGAAGGGAAAATCTGTGTCAGAGAGAGAGTGTCAGACTCTTACTGACTAAAAACCACCCCGTTCCTTATCCTGCTCTAGGCCGAGGCTGCGGTACCTTATTGCGTTTATCCCGCAACCCCGGGTAGATAATTAAGTGTGGGAGAGTCATGCTTCGGCACGAATGGGTCGGCTCGACCGGAGTGATACCACGGCCTCACAGAAAACCGGCGTGAAACAACCACAGCGTTGTGTTTCGCCGTGTGAGTGAGGTTACTGGAGACCCAATCACGCCCCTCCCGCCATCCCTTCCAAATCCTTAAAAAACTGAAACCCATATCCCTAAAAGTGGTGTTGCGAGTGTCTATGGGCGGCGCTGATTGCTTACCATCAGGTAATCCGTCTGCTCGTTTGCCGAGTAATTCCATAAAAGAAAAAACTTACCTCATTGAACCTTTCAATGAGAAGTCTGTCTTGAGCCTTAACGTAAGGATCTCTTGAATGTAACTGGTTCCTTGTGTACTTCTCATCCAAGTAATCACATATCACCACGCTTTCAAACAAATATTTATCACCGTGATCCGTTGGGATCTCCAGAACTGGTATTTTTACTAGAAAATATAAAAAACAAGGTTTTAAAATTTCAGTTCGCTATCATCATCAGCCTATAAGTGCCCACAGCTGAGCAAAGGTCTCTTCTCACACGGAAAAGGTTTGAGCATTATTCACCTACGCTTGCTCAATGCGGGTTGGCGATTTCAAACTTATAATCAAAAATTATAAGTCCAGATTTCCTCACGATGTTTTTTTCCTTCATCGTAGGTATGTCAGTGGTGTCTTAATGAAATTAAAAAGATTAAGTTCAACCAAATGCTCAAGCCTTCTCCTTGTGAGAAGATGCCATTGCTCGGCAGTGGGCACTTATAGGCTGACGATGATGATGATGAAGTTCAACCAAATTCGTTTGCAGACGTTTTGGGTGACCTTCAAATATTAATTTCATTTTTTCTATAGCACATGTGGTTTTTTGTTTCTTTTTCTGGAGGAAGACAAATAATCATCAACAAATGCTACAGATTTTCTATGGGATACATTTTGGACTAAGCGTTTCGCTTCTTCGTTTATACCAGACACATCTAAGGATTGGAATAGCTTGTCATTACCATCAGGTAATCCGTCTGCTAGTCTGCCGACTAATACCATAAAAAAAATACAAACCTTCTTCTTCAATCACTCTATCTATTAAAAGACCGCATCAAAATCTAGCGGCCAACAGAGAAAGCGACTTTGTTTTATACTGTGTAGTGATGTGCTACAATCAGCTGGTTTTAAATCAAATATTTTGACTTTTACACTTACATCTAGGATTTTTATTCCGGAACCATTCAGGTAGTCTAAGTGGATCCAATTTGTAGACCTCGTATTTAGCCTTCTTCGCTTCCAAAATTAACAGGACCCTATGTCCATAGGGGTTCATGTCCACATGGTATAAACGCAGCTTGTCTGTCAACGCCGGTGGGGGAAGAGGTCCTGGAATTAAAAAGGGGTTTGTTTAGTCAAAATGGAAATAAGTTGATATTTAATAAAATGTTATTTTACTGGTGGTATCGTAGTGGTCCTGAGATTAAGGCGCCCGCTTCTCATGCATGAGACTGTGAACCTGGCAAGTACCAATGTTACTTACTACTACTACTTACTATATGTAGTTTCTATGATTATTTAGACCCCACTGACATACGGTGAAGGTAAACATCGTGAGGAAACCTGACCCCGCCCTTAGTTGAGGTGAATGAATGACGGCCTAACGGAAAACTGGCGTGATACAGTTTGCGTTTTTTTACATTGATTAAGTGTGGTTACCATATGTTCATGGTACCATACCACGGTTCGTACTATGCTATGGTAACTTCGAGAGATGATCTCCGGCCACCGTAAGCGCGGGTCTGCGGACGGCGAGTAAGGGTAGCTCGCCGCCCGACCAGAACCAGGCCCGAGCATACGACGACGACGCGTCAAAGAGCCAATAGACCACCACAGACGGGGCCTTATAGGGCTGATGTTCAGCCGGGGTTGCGGGGTAAGCGCAATGAGTCACCGCGGCCTCGGCCCAGAGCAGGAGAAAGAACGGGGGGTTTTTAGTCTGACATTCTCTCGCCTTACCCTGGGCGGAAAAAGTCATTTGATGATTTTCCCCTGACAAAACAACAAAAAAAGCTATGGTAATATCAATAAAAAAAACTTTAGGTACTTAATAGATCTAGATCTAGAATTTTAGACTGCATACACTATATCTCCTCCTACATACACGGTTACTGATATACTGATAATATTTGCATTTTTATTTCTAGGTAGGTTAGGTACTTAATAGTTGATAAGCTAAGCATGCAAAATAAATGATAAGAATAGTATGAAGGAGTCATAGTATGGAACAGATCTGCAATTGTTTTTTTATTTATTATTTATTAACGGGACTAGACTTTTATTATAGTCTAAATAATTTATTAAATAAATGAAAACAATCTTGATACTTATGTCCTTTTTATTTATTTATTTATTTATTCTTTATATACAATTGCATATCGGAGGACTTAATGCTAGAAGCATTTTCTGCCAGTCATCCTTTTGGTAGTTTTAAGTTTTAGTTAACCTTTTATCTAACAAAATGTATGTAAAAATGTTTACATACATCATACATACATCATCAGCCTATAAGTGCCCACTGCTGAGCAAAGGTCTCTTCTCACACGGAAAAGGTTTGAGCATTAACCACCACGCTTGCTCAATGCAGGTTGGCGATTTCAAACTTTTAATTAGAAATTATAAAGGCCAGGTTTCCTCACGATGTTTACCTTCACCGTATGTCAGTGGTGTCTACATAATCATAGAAAGTACATATAGCTCGGAAAAAGTCACATTGGTACTTGCCAGGTTTCGAACCCACACCCTCATGCATGAGAAGCGGGCTCCTTAGCCTCCGGGCCACCACGCCATATGTAAAAAACTAAAATGTATACAATCGATTCGAATTTACTTAAATCGATGTCAGAGTGTTAACTAATAAACTAAATATCGATAATCTTTCAAAGAGATCTTATAGTGTTAGTAAAGATTGGTAATTGTATAGTTTTAGAAAACAGAAAGATATTATTTAATCCACTTTAAAACCTACTTATGAAAAACTCACTATTAAAATAACAGCTTAATTTTTTGTTCTTTATGAGATAAATCGTCTTACGAGCCGATGGATTACCTGATGGTAAGCAATCACCGCCCATGAACGCTCGCAACACCAAAGGAGTTACTACAAGAGTGTTGCCGGCTTGTGAGTTATCAGGGATTTAAGTATAGGGCGTTTGAGGATTTACGATGGGAGGGGTAATGATTGGACCTCCGGTAACCTCACTCACACGGCAAAACACAACCTACCTAAGTATTCGCTTCACTTGACTTCTATACTAATATTATAAAGAGGTAAGTGTGGGAGAGCCATGCTTCGGCACGAATGGGTTGGCTCGACCGGAATGATACCACGGCCACACAGAAGACCGGCGTGAAACAACCACAGCGTTGTGTTTCGCTGTGTGAGTGAGTCACTCGTAAATCCTCCGTTGCGGGTGTCCATGGGCGGCGCTGATTGCTTACCATCAGGTAATCCGTCTGCTCGTTTGCCGACCAATTACATAAAAAAAAAGTTTGTATGTAGGGGGGTAATCTCTGGAACCGCTGGTCGGATTGCCAAAATTCTTTCACTGATAGGTAGCTACAATATTCCTGAGTGCTATAGGCTATAAAAAATCACGCTACGGTCAAATGGAGCCGAGCAGCGGGTGAAACCACGCGAGAGTAGCTAGTCCTTAATACGAAAAGACGTATCAAGATTGTTTTTTAGTTAATTACCTAAACAATTGGCTAGTTTCCTAGGTCAAAAATAAATTAATTCGACTTTTCAATACAATCAAATATTGAAAAATAACTATATGTACTTTTATTCATGGATCGTTAATTTTTTTTAGCTAATTATTAAGAAATAAGTAAGCTATTTACGACGCAAAAATGTTATGACGTCATAAGCTCAGTTTTTCATACAAATTTCATAGAAAAGTATCGTTTTTGACATTTGAATAAAAGTATTGAATTTGACTAGTTGGAAACTACCTACCGAATTGAACTAAAACAGTTAGTAAAATACCTAGACTCTATTCAATAGAAAAAACCACAAAATGAAAGTGAATAAAGATCCTTCGACGTGCATTATCGATGTAACACTTTTGACCTCGTCAGCAAATAGGTTAATAACACAGCCAATGTTACATAGGCGTGGGAGTTGCTTGTCTCTGTTTATTTATAATGCATTAAGTGTAGGCCATACAGCCAGACTTACATGGGCGTTGAAAGGTGAAGAAATTTAAGTATTTTTAGAGGAATAAGTTCTATTTCGCCATCAACATCATCATAAGCCTATAAATGGCCGGGAGGAAACGCCCGAGTGTCGTCATTGCGAGGACCACCTAGAGGATATGGTGGAAAATACGGTGGCGGTATGTCCTGCCTGGGCGAGCACTGCCGTGTCCTCAGGGAAATGATCGGCGGCGGCGACCTCTCGCGCCCAGCCTTTGTCGAGGCCATGGTGCGGAGTGAGCGGAACTGGGACGCCGTCTTCTCCTTCTGTGAAGCAGTTATGCTCGCAAAGAGGGAGGCGGCCCACGTGAGGGAATCCTCCTCCTCACGCCCCAGCCGCCGCAATAGGCGACATTCTGGGCGTCGGGGATCGAGAGATGATCTCCTGCCACCGTAAGCGCAGGTCTGCGGACGGCGAGTAAGGGTAGTTTGCCGCCCGACCAGAACCAGACCCGAGCGTACGGCGCGTAGCGTTCCGCGCGCGCCTCAAAGAGCCAATAGACCACCACAGATGGGGCCCTATAAGATAAGGCTGATGTTCAGCCGGGGTTGCGGGGTAAGCATGAGGCACCGCGACCTCGGCCCAGAGCAGGTGAAGGAACAGTGGGGTTTTTAGTCAGTAAGAGTCTGACACTCCCTCTCGCCCGGGCCTGGGCGGGAGAAGTCATTTGATGATTTTCCCCTAACAAAAAAGCCTATAAGTGGCAAAGGCCTCTTCTCAAGCATTTGACGAAGGTTTGAGCATTAAGTACTCATCACGCTTGATCAAGGCGGATAGGCGATTTCATAAATTAAAATTGATACCCAATCGTAGTTTTCGGAGTCAGAAAGATTTTAGATACTTACTAGGTTTTGCCCGCGACTCGCGTGGAGTAGTGACCACCGGCATATTTTTGGTTTAAAAACTATCCTATGTCCTTTCTCGAGTTCCAAACTATGTCTGTACTAAATTTCACAGTAATCGGTTCAGTAGGTTAGGCGTGAAGAAAAGACAGACAGACAGACAGACAGAGTTACTTTCGCATTTATAATATTATATAGTAAATATAGTAATATAGTATATATAGTATAGTATAGATTTAAGTAGATAGTATAGAAGTATAGATATTAGTATTAGATTAGGTAGGTATTTCAACTAATAAAACATTTAAAAAATAATACCTATTATAATCACAGCTTCATTCATAAATATGACGATTTGCATAAAAACAATCGCATATTTTAGATAACTCAAGAGAAACCAGTATTATGTTGTTGATATCATATGATATCACAGCGTTTGCCTGCTATACGATAAAAAAAAATTTGATTTGTCCATTGACAGAGATAGTCCAATAAAAAAAACTAATAAAAAAAACTAACTAAAAGAGGGATGGAGCTATACACCTTTTATAGCTCCATCCCTCTTTCTCGCCCGGAAGATTCACGCTTTTAAAGCGTACAGTGCGGCCGACGTATCTTGGCGAGTCTGAAGTTTGCCGATTAGCTGCGCAGTACACAATTTTGTTCCTAAAAGATCCATTGCGCAGACAAACGGCTAACTTCAGACTCGCCAAGATGCGTCGGCCGCACTGGACGTCATGGTAGGCCCCCTGTGGTCGATCAATCAAACAAAACACTATCGGGTGTTTTGATTTCGCAATTTTCAATTGGAGCACTGTGTTTGGAGTTGCATTGGTGGAATGCGTGCCTTCTGTTAATATTAATGTTCATTGAATAACGTTTATTATATTAAACAAACTTGACTTTTATCTTTTGTTTAAGTTTTTAATGTTATTGTGAAAGTTTCTTACGAAGAAGGAAAATCATTAAATGACGTAGTAAGTGTGGAAGAGCCATGCTTCGGCACGAATGGGTCGGCTCGACCGGAGTGATACCACGGCCTTACAGAATACCGGCGTGAAACAACCCACAGCGTTGTGTTTCGCCGTGTGAGTGAGGTTACCGGAGGCCCAATCCCTCCCCTTCCCCTATCCCTTCCCAATCCTTATATCCGCAACCCCCATCCCCAAAAGGCCGGCAACGCACTCGTAACTCCTTTGGTGTTGCGGGTGTCCATGGGCGGCGCCGATTGCTTACCATCAGGTAATCCGTCTGCGAGAGTGTCAGACTCTTACTGACTAAAAACTATGGATTTTATGGATATGAAATTTCAGTTACGGATATAGAAAGGATTGATTATTATACTGGACACGGTTAAGGATAGCGATATGAAATTATTTCGGATTAGCCGTTAGTTTCGGATGTTAAAGGTTACGATTATTAAAATTTCAAAAGTGGGTAAAATACAAGCATAACCTGTCTCAATTAGGCTCCGCCCCTATCCGATATTAATCGACTTTTATTTCATATTCGATTATGGTTACGGATTTTTTTTATCGGTATTTCGATAGTTTCGGTTACGGTTGTAGAGCTCCCTTACATCCCTGTTAAGAACGTCCCCGTTTCTTTTCTAGGACGAGGTTGCAGTACCACATTGCGCTTACCCCGCAACCCCGGCTGAACATCAGCCCTTTAGGGTCCCGTCTGTGGTGGTCTAATGACTCTTTGAGGCGCGCGCGGAACGCTACGCGCCGTACGCTCGGGCCTGGTCCTGGTCGAGCGGCGAGCTACCCTTACTCGCCGTCCGCAGACCCGCGCTTACGGTGGCCGGAGATCATTTCTCGATATTAAACACCTGACTCTTATCTTTTGTAAACATTCAATGTTATTAATTACAACTTTATTATGTTAACGTGCACGTGCACGGTCGGTGCGATGGCCGGGCAACTAGCTGCCGTACAACGTGTCGCGGGTTTGAATCCCGCACGGAACAATACATTGTGTGATCTACAAAGTTTCGGGTCTGGGTGTGATGTGTATGTGAAATTATATGTTTGTAAACGCACCCACGACCCACGAAAAAATCCTAGTGTGGGGCAACGTTTTTTATATAAAAAAACCCATGGACACTCGCAACAGAGGAGTGCGTTGCCTACCTTTTGGGGATTAGGGATGGGAGAGGAGAAGTTGAATATTGGGCCTCCGGTAACCTCACTCACACGGCGAAACACAACGCTGTGGTTGTTCCACGCCGGTTTTCAGTGAAACCATGGTATCACTCCGGTCACCAAGATCAATAAGAATAATAATTGTAGAAACAATTAATTCGTCTATCTCTGTTGAGTAGCAAAATGAACCTTATTAAAACCAATTCCAACGAGATTGCTAAAAAACTTGTGTAAACATAAAATAGGTCTATTTTAATCCTTGATTGTCTCCAACCTCTTAATGACTGATAAGGGGTCATTCACCTTATAAACTGGAAACTACGCAAATTTATTTAACACACGTTAAATAGACTATGAGAGGTACATTTGGAGGAATGAGGAACAGGGTGGAAAGTTCCTCATCCTTCATGCAAAAGGGAGGAAGGAGGGAGGACTGGTGCTGTTGTTAATGTAGATGCGAAAGCGCTAGATGTCGCTACATACGTATAGGCTGATACTTCACATATCAGCCTGACTGCCCACTGCTGAGCAAAGGCCTTTTCTCACACGAAGGAGGTTTGAGCATTTACCACCACGCTTGCTCAAAGTGGATTGGCGATGTCAAACTTATAATTAGAAATTATAAGTCCAGGTTTCCTCACGAAGTCTTCCTTCACCGTATGTCAGTTGTTTTTTTATGTAATATGTCGGCAAACGAGCAGACGGATTACCTGATGGTAAGCAATCACGCCGCCCATGGACACCCGCAGTGGAGGAGTTACGAGTGCGTTGCCGACCTTTTAGGGATTAGGGTTTTGGAGATTTAGGGATTTGGGGGACGAAGGGATTCTGGTAACCTCACTCACACGACGAAACACAACGCTCTGGTTGTTTCACGCCGGTTTTCTGTGAGGCCGTGGTATCACTACGGTCGAGCCGAACCATTCGTGCTGAAGCATGGCTCTCTCACACTTTTATAGACACAGTGGTGTCTAAATAATCATGGAAAGTACATGTGACTCGGAAAAAGTCATATTGGTACTTGCCAGGTTTCGCACCCTCATGCATGAGAAGCCTTAACCTTTGGGCCACCACGACGTGGACGAGGCACACACTTAGTGAGGATTTAAGGGAAAAAGAGTCATGCTTCGACCTTCTACTGGCTAGAAAGGTGGTACCAGGGCCTAACAAAATACTATTATATTTCAAGTGTGGGAGAGCCATGCTTCGGCACAAATGGGTCAGCTCGACCGGAGTGATACCACGGCCTCACAGAAAACCGGCGTGTAACAACCACAACGTTGTATTTCGCCGTATGAGTGAGGTTACCGGAAGCCCTTGGCCTCCCCCCCCAATCTCTAAATCTCCGAAACCCTAATACGCAAAACGCTGGACGACCACGGGTGACGCCGATTTCATAACTTTAGGTAATCCGTCTGCTTGTTTGCCGAACTATCACAGATAAAAAAAACACACGCAGAATAGAAGTATTGCTTTCGTTTACATACCTATAAAATTCTAAATGAGGAAATGCTCGTCTGCCATTGGTTTATTAGGTAATCAGATAATGAGGTCACCTATTTCTAGTTTCCGTCAGGTCGGAATAGCGGTTTATTAAGTGACAACAGATACTTAGTCAAATTCAATACTCTTTTTGTTGCTATAAAATATGGCGACTTACAGTTTCTACTTTTCTAGTCAAAAAGGAATGTTTTTTTTATACTTAGATACTTGGAGGAACTAATCAAAGGTTTTTTTTTTTAATAACAGTATTTTCTTCTATACACAACGAAACAAAATAACAATTTAAAACTAGAAAATAGTAGAAAACCTTCCAACTACAAATAAACTGTTCGAAACTACACAAAAACGACTCATTATCTCCACAACAAATCATACTGAATTAATTATCTGTCTACGAAGTCTCGCTGCATAAATTTATGATACGGAAAATTCTAAAATGTACAGCGAAAATGCGCACCGGTAATGAATATGATGTCATTTTTCTATATGCACTATTTTTTATGTCAACATTCAGGCAGACGACCGAGGTCATTATAATTGACACCGCAGGTATTCGAATGCAATCTTGACACAAATATGGTGGCCCAAGCAAACAGCTGTTGTTGTTGCACAGCTGTTATAAACAATTGAACTACTTTTTATTTATTGCATTAAGAAATCATTGATAAAACCGCGTGAGTTGACCTTTTAAATTTGAAGTTGTATTTTAGTATTGATTTTTATCAAAGTGTATCTAATAACGATTTGATTTGATAGAATGTAAAAATAATCAAACATAAAATCACTATTTAGGTACGCGACATATTTTTCCATGGAGGTTTTTTTTAACCCGTTAGTCAAGGGAAACGACCGAAAATTCAAAGGATTACGTCAATTAGAAACTATTTACATTAAAATGTTTAATCGATATAAACAAAACGCTCGTTATCAGGATGAAAAGTATAAATATTACTCACCGACACCTCGCTGTTGATAAAACGACATGCTTTATATCGATCGATTTCACAATTATTTTAACGGAGAAATTGAAATTATTTTAATACACTTGTAATCCGGCCGGCGCACAGTGAACGAAAACCTGTGTGGAAATAATAACGTCATTCTTAAAATTAAAGTTGCCGGCGGTCTGAGTAGACTTAGGTTACGCTACTACACGGTGACGTCATAGTTAATAAGGTGTGTTATGGAGTTAAGAAGAAAAAATCTTGATGATAAAAGTGTGTGTGACGATTCGTATCGTGCCTGTGCAATATTTATTTAATGCTCTAATTAAAACTATATATTTGTAGTTCTAAACGGATTTCAATACCTACATTTGTGGTGTCTCATACAGTGAACTTTTCAACACAGTTTTATAAGAGGAATATTAAAGTCAAAGTCAAATCATTCATTTCGATTTATGGCCCTTACAGGCACTTTTGAACGTCAAAATCAAGCGTGGGACTTGAATAATTATTGTTGTATCTGTGGGTTACTCAAAATATTTTCTTTATTTGACACTTCACTTTTGCCGGTTCAGCAAACCAGTGATGAAATTTTATAATTTGCACGTTTCGTCGCATATGTCAATTAATTGGCATTTACAAAAAGTAAGTGACGCCAAAGTTATCTGTGCCTAGTGCCTTTTTTGTGAGGGGAAATAATCAATAGATTTCTCTTGCCAGTGTGAGATGACAGGGAGTGACAGACTCTTACTGACTAAAAACCACTCCGTTCCATCTCTTGTGTAGCGGCACTATCACGTCGCTACATTACTTAGATACGATAGAGATAAGACATACATGTTAATTGTTGCACGTTTGTTAGGATAGCTAAATCTGAAAATCTCACGCATCTTCTTAGTATATAAGCACCAGCAATTAAAGTAATAAACAGACCTTAACCATCTACAGTCTCATTATTTACCTTGCCACGAAGTCTGGCAAATTGGTGACCCGACGAAGAACAATCAACATGACTCATTCACCCTGCAAATCAAGCAGCAGCCAACAAGAAGCCTTGGAGATATCAGCCGGAATTTTGGAGGGACCAACCCAGATTATGGTTTAAGCAACTAGAAGCCATAGTAGCACCACAGAAGCAAGGAGACGATTACAAGTACTATACGGTCATTGCAAAACTGCCAAAAGAAGAAATAATACAGGTTAGTGACCTCATTACTTGCCCACCGCCAATAGAAAAGTACAAGGCTATCAAAGAACGCCTAATCAGTTGCTATGAGGAATCAGACCAACGTCAGCTCCAAAAATTATTGTCTGAAATGGATCTCGGCGACCAGAAACCATCACATCTTCTGCGCAAGATGCGGACCCTGAGTAACGGAAATATCAGCGACGAAACCATCAAACTTCTATGGTTGAGGCTTCTGCCACCATCAGTGACTTCGGTTCTAGCAGTCACAGAAGACATAGATGTGAACAAGATGAGCCAGATCGCGGACAAGATATTAATAAATTCAACACGTACAGAGGTGTCAGCTGTAAACGGAAACAAATCTGGCGACGATACAATGTCATGCATACTAGCACAGTTAGCAGAAATGCAATTGGAACTAAATGCAATTCAGCAAGGTCAAAAAAACTATCGACGCAGCACTCAAAGTTATTCCAATCGTCGGCATTTCCTACCACAGTCAAGTTCAAGAGAAAGAAGGCACTTTTGTTTTTACCATGGAAGATTTAAAAAATATGCACAAAAGTGTGTTCAACCTTGTGATTGGAAACAGGATCTCAACTCAAGGAAACAGGGAAACTAATTGAAGCACGGACAACGGCGGAACTCTGTGCTATTCACCCGTCCAACCGCCTCACTATTACCGACCGAAAAAGTGGTATGAGATTTTTGATTGACACGGGAGCAAATATTTCAGTTATTAGCAAGCCACAGAGACATTCACTAATACAAGATGAACAATGTATACTTTATGCCGCCAATGGTACAAAAATTAAGACATATGGTGAAAAAACACTCTCTTTAAACTTCGGGCTACGAAGAAACTTTGTATGGAACTTTGTCATCGCCGATGTAACACAACCGATTATTGGAGCAGATTTTTTAGAGCATTATAAGCTATTAGTCGATATAGCTGGTCGAAAACTCATAGATAGGGTAACTGAGCTGACAACGCCCGCAACCCTGATCAAATCGACGCAGCAAACAATCCGCACTATTAACATTGAGACGAATCCACGCATTACTCAACTATTAAATGAATACGAGGATATTACGAAACCAGCCTCCCTCCACACTACTCCAAAACACAAGATTAAGCATCATATTATCACTAAAGGACCACCGGTATCAGCACAAATGCAGTGGATAGTTCATCGACTGCCGCCGCCGTCACAACAAAGGCAGCAGTTTTTATTTCCTTCGAATTAGCAACAATGACATTACATTACGCATAGGATGTAATTTATCAGCAAGGTTAAGTTATTATATAATTAGGTACATACTAATTTTTTTCAATTTATATGTTAATTATTTTTAAAAGGGGGGAGTATATGTAGCGGCACTATCACGTCGCTACATTACTTAGATACGATAGAGATAAGACATACATGTTAATTGTTGCACGTTTGTTAGGATAGCTAAATCTGAAAATCTCACGCATCTTCTTAGTATATAAGCACCAGCAATTAAAGTAATAAACAGACCTTAACCATCTACAGTCTCATTATTTACCTTGCCACGAAGTCTGGCAAATCTTGCTTCAGGTCGAGGCCGTTTTATGTTATTGCGCTTGATCCAGAACAACGTCTAGTGAAAGTGCCTAAAGATCTCGATCGGCCTTAAGCTACTAACTGATAATAACTAACATACTTACATACTTGTTGTAGCTAATATTAAACATCATTTCGCCTAACAATCTAAAGAAACGAGACGGTTAAACTTCGCCGGTAACTAGGTATATGATTTGTGCGATAACCGTGCCAAGCTAAAGGTAGCTTAATTTTTAAACACCAAAATCCATAATTCATATTTTATAAACAATGCCACTGCACTTATCCTTATGAGTGCAGTGGCATTGTTTTTTATAAAATATGAATTATGGATTTTGGTGTTTAAAAATTAATTGAAATATAGGTACATAAAATTAATGTAAGAGTGTAAGCTAAATATGTAAATGTCCCACCAATATGACATCATCGGTGACCTGATTATCTATTACCCAACCAAATCAAAAAGCTCAAAACATGACATTGCCCATCTTCATTTCTCCAGTACTCTCAACTTGGTCGGTTAATTTTTAGAAGGCCAATTTCTTAGGTGTGTGTTTTCCAACTATACCTACTTTTTATTTGAATAAAATGTGTTTAAACTGATTAATGACTGGAACGTAAGTTTTTTATGTTTGAATATGAGTCATTTTTAGAATACCTCGAGCTTGGTAGAATTTTAATTGATTACGGTAACTTGGTAGATAAACATAACCTGAATAGAAGAAAATACCGAAATAACTCGATGACTCATTCACAATGCCATGTTATGAATCATTTGTATCTGACACGACATATGTCATTTATTCTGTTGTATTCAATTTAATCTAAGAATGGATGGTGTGATTCGATTACCTATGTGCAATAAGGCAGTAACGAAACGTTGAGTTCAATGTTGCAATGAAATAGTTTCCTAAAATTGGGTAACTATATCGTAACATTCAAAAAACTATTACTTGCCTTTAGTCTGGCTTTAGTCAGTAAAAACCCACGTCTTTGCTCAAAAATAGATTCAATGTCAAAAATTAATATTATATATTTGCTAGAAAAGATAATTTCGCTTTGTGACTTAAAAATATTCTAGTAGTTTTCGACTGTTGGTAGTTTTTAAGATTGTTAACAGTGGTATCATAAAAGAATGCTATCAAACTTACAACTGTCAATGTCATATGTCTATTTTTTAATATCGTTCCATTCATTTTTAATTTGAAGCATTTTTCTTTATCATGTCATCTCTTTCACACCTTAGAAGCAATGAATCTTTTGTCTTATTCACAATTAAAATAAAATTTTTGTTTGACATAAATAAAATAAATCAACGTTTATTCTTTTCTGAAATAAACTTATTTCACAGAAAAAGCGAAGGAACATTTGGCTTAAAATAACAGAAATAACAAAAATATCTATACAATTTACTATGTTGTAATACAAGTACAAACATATTTTGGAACAATCGATGTTTTATTTGAAATATCGGAATTAAACTGGAGTTCTCGTGTTTCCTGTAAAAATGAGTACTTCAGGTATTTAAATGGAGTTTATTCTTCTATTTAATTCATTCCTGAATCTTTTCATAGATAATTCGTCAACACACTCATCGTTTTATAAGACGCATGTACATTAGTCATAATAAATATATAAATAATACATTTAAAACATAATAACACAGTACAGTATACAGTTTGGCATGATTTTAATACATAATTCATTATGTTAAAGCATAAATGGCTGTAGTTGGAGCGAATAATGCGCTATTTATGAGCAAAAACAAATCATTTTTTGTTATAGTAGGCAAGCATCTCTTGATCTTATAGTAAGCACTCAACGTTGCCCATAGACACTCGCAGTATTAAATTGGATGTGCAAGTGCATTGGTTGCAGATCGCACTAGCTTCATTTGCCTTCTAAGCACTGAAAGGGTTGTTATTACATGATTGTCCGCTGTTTTTTTTTATAAAAAATTCTATAATAAGTACTTTCTCCTGAAGCTTATATATAGAAAAAATCAAACAAAGCTGATAAGCAGTATAGGTAACAATAAACTTGGGAACATGAAGTTACTAATAGGAAGCTTAGAAATAAATAATAATTACCAAAGGTGTAATAATAACACAAGTACCTATGCGCAAAATATCAAGGTTCATTAAAAAAGATTGCACTAGCATTGAACTTATTGGATGAACTATAACAGTTTTATCTGGGGTTAGAATGTTTTATTAAAAAAGAGGTTCCAATAATTTTAATCGAACTAGTCAGCTCTAAACTATCTAAATATACCATCCATAGAGAAATTTTCTTTTTCTTATTCTTTGGCTGAATATTAGTGCTACACTGTTCTCATATAATGAAACCAATTTAAAAATGTAACAAAGGATTTGACTGTGAAACTGATTGAAAAGAGTAACCATAGAGTTTCTTGTTCGTTCTTCTCCATTGGAATGTACACTTTGGTACGAG